TTGTAACCATTCAATTGCAGCGCTTCTTTAACACGTTTAATTTCACTTCTCAGACTATATCCAGAAATGGTAGAGTTCTGTCAGCTTCCACTTCCATGGTGAACTGGATGGATGGGTTTTGCGAGTTGAGATGATTTAGAAATTCATTAAGTGTATCTTTGCCATGTGGCCAGACCACCAATGTGTCATCCACATATTTAAACCAAGCAGATGGGTTTAGTGTGCTTGAAGCTATTGCTTTTTGTCTCAAAATCTTCCATGTACAAATTCTCTTATCACAGGAGACAAAGGAGATCTCATTGATGCTCCTTCCTGTTGTTTATAGAAGTCACCTTTCCACAAGAAGTAGGTGTTCTTTAGACAGTGTTCAGCTAGTCTTTTAATATATTTGGCGAAACCTTTGTTCGTTACTAGAGTGTAGAGTAATTTAATTGATTCGTTGACCAGAACCCTCGTGGAAAGAGAAGTCGACTTCTCTAACGTACTCGGATTGTAAATGTTGTGGCTTGGCTCTCCAACACACCGGTGTGCTGTACTAGCGACGAATTGGCACGTTCTGTTTACTTGACAAACCTTACTAATTGGCTGTGTCGGGTGGTTGCATGTTTAACGACACATTTATTTACGCATTCGAACCCAAAAAAACCTGTATTATGGATGATGTTAAATCAATCTCGTTCTTGTTGAGTGTTTATACACATTGGAGGAAACTGGAGTTTCTAGAGAAAATAAACACACATTCGAGGGAGAAATGCCAATAAATATGCTCCGATAAGCCAGACCAGCTTGCTGTACTGTCTTCTATCGATTCATTGTTAATCAGCAGGTGCATTTCTCCTCTGCATTATCCACCAACCCCTGCTTTTCCCAACATCCCAAAGCAGAACCCTTTGGAAAAGAGGTTACAAGGCTTTCCTTTGTTAAATAATTGATTTCTTAAAATCTTCCTGAGACTGTTTAGGGCCTTCATCGATGTAATCATCTGTAGGGCCCCCACAATAATTATCCTGGGGATCAATAAGTCTATTTCCAGCGGCTACACTTAGTGCTGATGCTTCCTTTAACCGCAGTGGGGTCTCAACTCGAGTTCAGTGTCTCCCTGCTCAAGAAATTCCACATGACCATGACAAAGTGTGTCAGTCTCTTTAGAGCAAAGCTACTGTTGATTTTCCACAAAGTGATTCTAATTATACTAAACCCCTGTTTTTATTTTGCCCGTCTCGTTTGTACGGATCGCTCTTTAAGCTTAAAAGTTGCACAAGATTATCGGTTCCGTGAATTTGTAAAATATAGATGCTCGTGAGATTCAATTTTAAGACGATTAATCAGTGCCGTCGTTACATGCCTGCCTGGCGCACAAAGACAAAGATCCCCTATGTAGCCTTAACAGATTGTTGGGGCAAGTGCTGTTAGCGAGTAGCACCTATGAACGCCGGCACGGCACACGAGGGGATGGGTGGCCAACACCGCTCACGGCCAGCTTTGTCTCCCCAGTGGCGATGTTTACACACCGCACCAGGTACTCATTTGAGGCTGAGCGGGAATCGAACTCTGATCGCCGGGTTCGTAGCGCATCGCACGAACCGCTAAGCTACCGCTCCTCTGGTGAGCACAGAGACAGTGACATGCACGTGACCTTGTGACCTGGTAGGTCACCGCTTCGTAGATGTCCATTGCTCTTGTCTCATTAGGTGTCTGTATGTGTGTTTCAAAATACACCACGTAACTCTTGAGCAGTCCCACTTACTCGCTCGTGTCCTCTGTCAACATGAAACAGCACGGTAATTAACGTTTGCATGCCACGAAACGTGTACGGTTACAGTGGACGACCAATGACATTCTGCGCGTGACAGAAACACTAAATATTGATGCTTTGAGTTGCTGCTGGGTTTTTCTCTCCCATGTGCTGATGTTTATTCAAAGCACCAGGTGCTCATTTTTTTAGGTTGAGTCGACCTAGGGGACGCAGAGGACTGATTCGGATAATTGTCACTGATGTTGGCTGTGAGTAGGAATCGAACACTGGTTGCCGGGTTCGGACACACACAGCCAAAGCCAAAAAAATCCCCCGTGTAGCCTGTAACAGATTGTTGGGGCAAGTGCTGTTAGCGAGCACCTATGAAGGCCAGAACGGCACACGAGGGGGTAGGTGGCCAACACCACTCACGGCCACCTTTGTCTCCCCAGTGGCGATGTTTACACACCGCACCAGGTACATTTGAGGCTGAGTCGACCTAGGGGAGGCCCAGAACCGGTTCAGAAAATCGTCACTGATTTTGTCCGTGAGCAGGAATCGAACTCAGGTCGTCGGATTCATAGTGCAGCGTGCTAACCACTACAACTACTGCTCCCCACAAACGAACACAAACACACACACACACACACCCGCACGGATAGGTACAGCCAATACAGAACGTTGATGTAGGTTGCTCGCGTGCGGTCTGCTTTTATGGGCCTCTGCATCACCTTGGTAGTGCGCCGTGCGAGGTCTTGCCGTGGTTTGGCGCAGTATCGCACACAGCACCCCGGGGTTCCTTTGAGGTCTGGGCCGGATTTGCCACCCGTGCAATGCCGGGGGTGGGGGGGGGGTGGCTCTCTGCGATCGACGCGGCTGCCGTTGTGACGACGTAACTAATTTTCGATTCTTGTGCGTCTGATCGCTCCGCGCGGGGGGGGGGGGGGGAAAGCCAGGCTGGGTCTTTCTTTGCTCTTGTTCGCTCTTCGCTCTGGTTGGTGGATACCGATTGATCGATCTTGTTTATTTTGGTTTTGATATTGGTTGATGATGATTACCAATTCAATGAGAATCGGTTGTTCATCGTTTAGTGTCAATGATATGCCAACGAGATGCTAGTGTCATGTTTAGGCCGGTGAAGCGAACAAAATAATGCAAGCGAGATGGAACACGCTACGAATGTATAGCAATGGATGTGAATCTCGAGTTGAATCGCTGGAGAAGCGAATCCGTTGCGCGCCCTCGCCGCTTCGTAGGGGGTCGAACGTCCGATGCCCCCCGCAGCCATAGCTTCGACGGAGAATTGGAAGAGCCGCTGCTGAGTGGGCAATACAAATTCTAACTTCATTGAACATTATCTGACGATGTAAATGATCGCCTTCCAGAGTGCAATGTCTACCATGGGATGATGAATCTCCACTTCATGTAAGAATTAAACAAACGGGGAATGTATTGGTCTCGTGACATGACCACCAGTAGTAATGTAACTTGATGTTAAGAGAAGAAAAAAAACCGGGTTAAAACGAAGGCCACCCCCTGGGTGGGACTTGTACTCTGGGCGAACGCTGCACGCCGGAATTGTAATCTCTGGTAATGAGCTGCGTGACCCAATGCTCGCTGTGCCGTCACAGTGAGCGCAATGATTATCGATGAAACAAGATCTCTGCTGCGTTCCCCTGCCGAGACTTTGATGCTTCCATTTATAGTCGGTGCTTGTTGTCCCTCGCCTTGCCGAGTGTCCACCGAGACTCCTCCCCTGCTTTGAGAGCAACACCCAGTTCGCCGTAACCACGGGGAGGGCGGGGAACGTTGATTAATCTGGTCTCAACTCAAGGTAAAGCGTCTCCCCCCCCCGCTCAAACGGGTGTTGATGGTGCCCATTTCCAGTAAACTATAAAATAAAACTATTTACACTATGAGATCTCTTTTACCAGTGGCAAAATATAATAGTAGGTTTTTACCCTTTTAACTGTCAGTTTTGTACCAGTTAAAAGGGTAAAAACCTAATATTATTAAAATAAAACTATTTTTGATTTTACCAGGTGAGGCTCACTGGGCTATATGGCTCTTTTTTTTAAGCGACCTGGCTATCGCAAATGATAGCTCAACGAAGTGGCTTATCATGATGTGGAAACATATAGCGGCCGAACACTCTGTAACAGCACCTTCATTCTAAATGTGGAGGGGAAAAACCGGAGGGCCTGGAGAAAAACCCGCACGACCACGGGGAGAGAGAACACACCAACTCCAAAATATACAGGTATCAGGGTCAGCATTGAACCCACGACCTCCTGTATACCAGGCGAGGTAGTTCACATCTCCCTACCGTGATCCACAGCAGGAATTCCACATTGTGGTGGTCGGCAGAAACGCCGACCCCGTATGAACGGGACAAGACGAAGAAGGGACCGGCCAGAGTTTCTCCACAGAACAACCGTTCCGGATTCGTCGCTGAGAGGCGACAATACTTTTGTTGTATTTTTCCACAAAACGTAATCGCCGTTGCGCTGCTGCCCCTGTCATGTGGACGGTGAGAGGGTGCGTCCATTTGGGGACCGCTCGCAGCTCCGCCACCGCCGCCAGAGTGCGACGCAGCGCGGAGCAATGCCACAAAACTCCTTCTGAGATCCCCTTCGAGGGCCCGCTGGACTTCCCCACACACCCTGGCTGCGAACAGGGACACGTTTGTCCCGTGGCAGTATAACATTTTTTTTTATCCATTCACAGAGCTCGAATTTTGGCACGTGAAGTGGACAAAAAAATGAACGAAATTGCTGCGATGGTTTTAACGCGCAGTCGTTTGTGTGCCGTCAGCTCGCTCCCCTTGCTTTTATCAATTCCAAGTGGAACATAGGGGGGAAGCGGTGCTTGCTTGCAGCTCCCTGGTTTACACACCGGGGAGCTGCCGGCATCCGATGCGGAATATCCGCTGTCTACACCGAGTGCTTTGAACCCCGAGCCACCCAATCTCATCCCCGAGTGTAGGTAGCCTTTTTTTTTATTATTATTGACCTTTCAGGATGACAATGACGGGACGGGGTCGATGCCGCACGTTCCTTGGCGGTTTGAGTGCTCTCTCTGCCCGAGTGCCACGCGGCCAGACACATCATGCATGTGCGTCATGTTTATTAATTGCTTCGGCTGAGAATTTCGGCATTTCAAATGATCGTTTCTGCTAATAGACATGCTTGTAAACCCCCCCCTCCCTCCCCTGTGTGATGAATGAAAGTGATGATGGTGCTGTCTGCGCTGTTCCTTTTTACAGATACAGCTTCATCATCGCCATGGGCTGCCTGTCCCTGTGCCAGATAAAGTTTTTCATCTTTGACTACGGCATCTACTCAACGGACTTCACGGGGTGAGGATCTCCTCGGGTGCCTCCTTCAAGCGTGACACGGGTCATTACTGGCAGCAGCAGCAGCAGTTAGTGAGCTCCTGTGAAGGCTCCTCGTGGAATTGCCGTCTGAAATGGGCATTGGGCAGTGCTCATATCCATATTCATACTGGAGGAAGCTCTGTTTTTTAACTGATGACTTACACTTTTTTTTTATACTACTCTAAAGCCATTCTTATTTTATGCGTCAAAATCAGGGGTCGGCAACCAAACTAACAAGAAGGGACATTTTCTTCGAATTCGGTGAAACAAAAATCTAAATATTTTGAGTGCCACAATAGCAACGTGAATGCAAGATGGGTACTGAATGAATAATGTCAAACCGCATTTTTTATCATCGCCATTTTAAGAACAGCGCACGCAATGATTTGTAATGCCGCGTTACAAATCACTGTTGGGCTTTTAGACGTTCACCCTTTGTCGAAAATAATTCGTTTTTTTTTACTACTTTGCAATTATCGTGTCGGGAGCCTTGAAGCAGTTCCTTAAAGAGCCACATGCGGCTCCACAGCCGCATGGTTACCGACCCCCTGCTCTAAATGGATGATGGCCGATAGTGAGTCAAGAGCTCGAACCACAGCTGCACCTGGGGGCTGGATGTGTACCTTTTTATATTCACAGTTAGGTTCAAGGCGGTCTCTGCACGTGTACCTCTGTTGTGTTTTTAAGCTATTTAATATCACATTCGTTCGGTTATCCACTCATTTTCGGGCATTCTTTCAGGAGGGCCCTTCACAGGGATGTTTGGCAAATAGTTTTATATATTTTTTTTACACAAGTAGTTTTGCACGTGGGAGGAAACGGCAACACCAGGAGAAAACCCCCCACACGTGCGAGGGGAATACCTCCCAAATGACGCTCGAACTGGCCCAGCAACAACACGCCGTTTAGTTGGCCGATTTCACAATCCAGCAGGATGTTCACTCGGCCAGCTCTCTGCGGGATTCGGCCAAACTGGCCTGTTGGGTGCTGGAGATTGTCAGCGCCTCCACCACCCTCACCGTGTTAACCTGCTGCCCGCGACTCTCTCTCTCTGCCCGCCCGCAGGCCCATGATGGTGATGGCGCAGAAGATCACCACCCTCGCCTACTCGGTGCACGATGGTGAGAGGCTGCTCCCGTGATGACCATGAGGGGAAGCCGGGCTGGGTCTCTCTTTTGTTGCTGTTGTTTGCTTTGGTTGGTGGATATTGATTGATTAATTGAGCTTGTTCGTTTTGGCTTCATGGTGGTTGAGGAAAATCACCGATTCAATGCTGCGATATTTAGTGGGCACACACTTTAAAAAAACAATTGTCTCAAAGAGACTGTATGGCAAAATGCTGTTAGCCAGCGCCAATGATGATTGGCACGGTACAGGAGGTGGTGGTGTGTCCAGTACCAAGACTGGCCACCTCTGTGTTCCCATCGATGATGTTCACACGCTGCACTATCAACTAATTTAAATACGCAGTGCAGGGCTTCGTAGTACATAGTGCAGTCGACCCTGGGGAGGTGCAATACAAGTTCCAATAGCGTTCGAGGCAGACGTTATCTATATCGTAGCACAGTGCACTCACGGCTGGACCAAAGACAAAGACCACCTGTGTAGCCTTAACAGACTGTAGGAGCAAGTGCTGTTAGCGAGCACCTATGAAGGCTGGCACGGCACACGAGGGAGTGGGTGATCAGCACCACGCCCAGCTACCTTTGTCTCCCTAGTGGCGATGTTTACACACTGCACCACATATTTATTTGAGGCTGAGTCGACCTAGGCGAGGCCCAGGATCGGTTCAGATAATCGTCACCAGTGTTTACCTGTGACCGGTTCTTAATGCAGCGCATTAAAGGCAGCACCACCACTCCTGGCCATACACAGGTATGCGAAACGCTTAGTGTGGCGCACGAGTAGAGATTCAGCTTAAAATGGCACAGCGGCCAAAGCACGTTGATGTCTGTTGTCTATCCAATGGGCGGGGGGGATATTGACGAGTCGACGGTTAGCTTGGCGCTGACCTTACCAAGGGGCTCGCCATGCGCCTGGGGCTGGTAAAGCGTCTCGGCTGAGACCACCCCATGCCGCTAGCCCCCCGTGCCGCTACCGCCCCGTGCCGCTACCCCCCCGTGCCGCTACCACTCTGTGCCACCACTTTGCATGAAGGTCTACTGCGGCGCCGTGTGCTTTCCCAGGGATCGGGCGGAAGGACGAAGACCTGAGTCCGGAGCAGCGGCGCTACGCTGTGAGGTGAGTGCCGTGAGCCTCCTGGCCTCACCTCGTCTCTGCCTCCCCCTCGTCTCTGCCGTCCGTCCTGCGAGCCGTCAGTGGAAGTCGCCCTCTGGCTGCGGCAGTGACCAAGACGCTCCGTCTCACAAACCACGGCTCGCCCCGCACCGATTGGTTATTCGCTTCATCAACCCTCAGACGGATGATGATTTGTTTGCGCCGAACCTCGAGGCTGGGATTTTTAACTTGCGACCTTCGGACTGCTCGCAACAGGACGCTCCGTTCTGTGGCCTGACGCTCGTAGTACTACGGGGAGCAATATTGCGGAAAAGGACAAAAAAAGAAAGTGATGACAGCCGTTTGTCGTTCAGTTGCGTCTTGCCCCCCTCCCCCCTCTCCCCCGCTGCTTACGGGCACAGAGTGCGGCCAACCCTGCTGCAGTACTACAGCTACAACTTCAACTTCCTGAGCATCCTGACGGGCCCGTGCTGCGCCTACAAGGACTACCTGGCCTTCATGGAGGGGCGGCATTTAGCGCCGCAGCAGTCCGGCGTGGGAACGGCGGCCACGGGGCCGGAGGAGGCCACCTTGGCCGCGTGCGGTGGCGACAACGGCAAGCGTCCCCGCTGCGAGCCCTCCCCAGTGGTAACGGTCGCGTCGTGCGGGGTACGCGGGGTACGTTGGGGTGCACGATGTGCGTGGGGCGGCCGCGTCCTCATCTTCCCATTTGGTCATCGTCAGGCGCAGCAGCGGAAGCAGGACAAGGCTGTTGTGCTTTTCATTACCTCCAGCTTCAATATGACTGCTGTCGTCATAATCGTCATCGCATTCCAAAGTAGTACAACTGCAGTAAAGGCAGGAAAAGTAGTGGAATTGTCACACGCATCGTATATATCGTTATCATTTTCATCGTGAGAAGGCTATGTTCTTCGTCATTTTCAATGACGACATCCTTAATATCATTGTCATCATCGGACACCGCGGTAGCGAGATGTTAACTATCTTTCCTCGTATACAAGAGATCGTGGGTTCCATCCAGACCCTGGCGCCTGTATATTTGGAGTTTGTATGTTTCTGTCCCTGTGCGTTTAGAGTATTCGGCTGCTATAAATGTCCACGTAATCAGCCACTTGGTTGAGCTATCAATGTGTGGCCTGGTCGCTTCTGAAAAAGAGCTATAGAGCTCAGTTGACCCCTTACCTGATGAAATTAAAAAAAATGAGCAGCAGTAGAAGCAACATCCTCAGCCTCGTTAGTGGCAATCACATCATCATCACCGCCGCCTTCATTCGTTATTTGAATTTACTGTAGTGTCAAACACTGCAATGGGAGTGTAGTCATCATCATCATCATCCTCACGATCACCGTTATCAACAGAGCTTCCTGCATTCGTCACCACCTCCAGCCAGAGACATTTACCGGTGGTGGCAGCATCGGAATAATCATCATCAGCGGCGGCATCGTTAAGCGGCATTAATGGTTATTAATTTTATTCAGGGTCTGTTTATTCATACTTGGTAATCTTCGGCGGCACCAACAGTGATAATAGCTTATGAAATCCTGATTGTTTTCTTGTTGCTGTGTTTTCACGAAATTGGCTCCGATGTGTTCTCGCAGCAGCAAGTGGTAAAGTAAATTAAACGAGGCATTGCATTAGGGCTTGCAGCTTCCGATGGGGAGGCACTTGTGTTGTTGTTTCATTAATTTATCTAGGACACATGGCCTTTGGGAAAATAAGTAATTTAAATGTTAAAAAAAAAACACGTGCATACTCTGAATTCGATGGTGTGTAGAGGAAAAAAAACCTTTGGTGTACACGGAACAATGCGAAATTGAAAATGTCACTTCTTTTTTTCGAATATTAATTACATTTTTTGTTCATTATCGTTGAGGGTAATTTTTTCTTTTCTTTTTAAAAAGCCATGGAACACATGACCGGGCGGTGTAGGACAAAGCCCAGCTGGGCCTCAGGATCACTCGCACAGATTCGTTCTTATGAACGATTATATTTTAGAGAGGATCACCCCGATCTGATCGGGTGCCAATATACGGTATATTATTTGTAGATGTGAGCATCCTTCATCTGGTCGGACTAACGCTGTTTGTCAGAGCCCTTGACTCGCAATGAGAAGGTCGCCAGTTCAAATTTCCCCGTCATAGGAATTTGGAATATTCACTACTTGCTGGCTCGGAGCTCGCCAACAGAGGCGAGCCCATTGCCCCCATGCTCGTTTGAGCACAGAAAGAGAGAGAGAGGCAGTAATCACTTGAGCTTGTCTGTCCTGTGTCCCACGTGGAAATTAAATGATTGATGGCTCTGGTCTTTAAAAAGAAAATGACCCGTGTCTTTATCCAACGCAGAATGTCAGACAAGCCAGCCTGCGGGCAGAGATAACTGGTTTACTCCGGCAACAGTTGCCGGGGTGTGGCAGCACATCCCAGGATAGAGCGCAAGGCAGCCGTGCAAGCCGCTCGAGATATTTCTCTCCGCTAGATGTAACGTTATCAGTGGCCAGAGCCTTTTTTCTGACTCGCCGAGTCTCAGGGTCACTGAAGCATTCCCATCGACTCGCTGGCTTGCTTATGGAATAACGCTTGTTAGAGCGCTGATCCTGGTTTCAACCGCCCGTGATTAAACTCAATTATAGCAAGTCGATAGTCTATGTACACTCACCAATGATGGCTACATACGTATAAACAGTCAGCTTGTGTTTCACCTTATTTGTTTTTGCACATCAGCGTGATATCACGTTTCCAATTATGGGTGTCCTCCCCCTCCCCTCCTATTGTTATACTGTATTTTAAATGGCCATTTTCAAATGGCTATTTATCTGAAGTTTGGTGTCACGTTTGTAAAGTTCGGCTTTGTAGCTCAGGAACTCATCAAGCCACGCCATGGTCAAAAATTGTCATGGCTTATGTCATGCGTGTGAGCGCACCCTGACATCTTTTCCATCCTTTGCACATTTGCACAGTCGCTCCCTCACCTGGCAGGTTTGCTTCTTTAGTTCCCCGCCTCTCTGGCTATGGGCCTCTCCCTTGGTGGCATTTAGAAACATGCCTTTAAGAGTATTTGGCTGCTGTAAATTTCCACACGATAAGCCAATTGAGCTATCATTTGTGGCTTGGTCGTTTCTTAAAATTAAGCTCATAGCTTCGTAGGTTTTGCCTGTGAAGATAAAAACAGTTTAGTTTTATTTGCATATTTTTTTGAAAGTGAATTGTTTTCCTTTCCTATCTATACGTTGCACTCCTTTCGTGTTTTTGTGTTTTGTTTGTTGTTGTAACGTTATGACCGTCCCCTACTGGACATCTGTGAAAAAGAGCTTTATAGCTCATCGACTTTGTCCAGTATAAATAAACATTCTCATTCTGATTGCATGTCACGATCAGGTGCCCCCCTCAATCCTGCGCAGGTGTCCTAAGCAGTGTATCCTCCTTTTCGTGGTGAATCAATAGTGACTTCGCTCTTCCATTCAACTACAAACTTGCAATTTGCTTTTTTTTAACCCTATCCTGCTGTGAAATTCCTCGCATCACTTTGTGCGCGTCCGTACTCTAAGGCCTCCGAAGCTTTGTTCGAGCTGTACTCCCCAACCCGCACCGAAGCGCAGGCATTACTCCTGCCCCCTCCCCCAACCGCTAAAGCTGATATGTGCATTCTTTCAAAGTGATTCCACGCGGTCAGTTGTAAAACTTTCTCTGCACATGCGGAGCCTTGTTCGCGAGCGATGGGGAATGCCGAAGATGCAACTGTCACTGCGTTTATTTTTGTTGGCGAGCGACCGTTTTGCGCCTGTGGGCAACAAATACCAGTTTCCTGCTGCGGTGTTAGATGTTGGGAGACCTTGACACGTCCATAACCGTCGCTTTCGCGATATCCTGCGGCTTGCTTGATGCAGTGGGGTTCTAACTGCACGGTGAAAGGTGTTGTTGAATAAATCAATCAAACCTGGTATAACCTGAATTATTTATTGTTTTATAACCCAGCCAGAGCCTCGTCGGTTTGACAAGCGCTTTTGTGGAGCGGAAGCCTGGGTTAATATTCTGCTGCTACTGCAGCTGCTGCTCGCCCCGTAGCTTCCCACCGTTGGGCAAAGGGCTCCCGAGTTTCATTCCATTCCTAGATTCATTCCATTCCTTCCACCCCTTTCATTCTTGTCCGGGAGCAGCGGCCTCCGAATTATTTTGTTTCACCTCTCGGTCTCCACTCCGAAGTTAATTCTGCGTCTGATCCCCCATCGTTCGTTGACATGGCGTGGCCCCTTGAGCATCTACACTCCATGATCTCTTTTGCGTTGTCAACTTAAAAGAGGGGCAACCTGCAAGTGCAGTCTTCTCTTGTATGGCCGATGAAGATGCAGAGCAATAACTACAATTCCACATTGAGGTAGTCAAGCCAGATAACCACGTCAGGAGCAGCGGAATAGTATCACTGCGATGTCTCCTTCGTATTTGTGTATCGGGCATTGCGTCGTTAAACATTGTATGGTCTGTTCTGGATGATCACAGTTGCACATTGGAGAGTTTTAAATTTAGCATTTGTGGATCAGGTATCCGCATCTGCCATGGTTTGTGCGCATGCGGTTTAGAGTGGACCATGAGCTTGCTGGAAGATCCAAACCAGAGATCTTCTTCGTGGACGTTGGCTCGTTTTTGACCATCAATCGGATGGATTTTAAATGTTTTTTTCAACAACATGTGAATCGGGCCGCTCGAAGGGACACTTTTCAAGTTCAATGGTCAATTTGAGGACAAGCCTCACTGAGTTTCAAGATGCTTTGTTCAGTTTTCACAGTCGGGGGGGCATGGGGCGGTGGCAATGGTTGCTCTGTACATTTTGCTATGAAGTAATTTCCCGGGTAACTATTCAAAATCGGCCGTTGCGGACCGTGACGCCGGCGACGAATGACGTCACGGGATCTTTTGCGTCCACTGTGAAGCAGACGGCGCGCGGTGCTGTTACCGTTCATACCCGCACACCGCAGTGTTGCCCAGAGCGGCCTCTGAATTCTATGAAGCTCTTTCACAGTGTCCAGTAGGAGCGGGTCAGAAAGTTACGACAACATGTGGCGAACGCAGCGACCCGAGTTCGATTCCCGCTCACGACCACCAACACCACAGACGATTATCTGAACCGGTCCTGGGCCTCTCCTAAGTTGACTCAGCCTCAAATGAGTACCTCGTGTGGTGTGTAAACACCGGCACTGGGGAGTCCATGGTGGTCAATGATGACCGTGCGTGGTACCAGCCGCCCGTCCCCTCGTGCGTCGTACCGGCCTTCATAGGTGCCACTCGCTAACGGCACTTGCTCCAACAGTCTGTTAATAGCTCTACGGGGATGATCTTTGTCTTTGTCTCTCGACTCCCCCCCCCCCCCCCCCCCCCCCTAGAGCGCGGTGATGTACAAGCTGGCCGTCGCTCTCGTCTCGCTGGGGCTGCACCTCACGGTGGCCCGGGGCTTCCCCGTCAACTACAACGTGGACGAGCGCTTCGTGCAGACCGAGCCGCTGCATTTCCGCCTCTGCTACCTCTTCGTGTCCATCCAGGCGGCGCGGCCCAAGTACTACTTCGCTTGGTCCATCGGTGGGTCCCGTCCGCCTTGGCGCAGGCCGGATACCGCCCGAGCGCGCCGTGGTTTGCGTGGATTTTAGTTTTTCTTCCGGGTCCTCCTCTTGTTAGTTGTTTTTTTCGTGTTTTTTTTCTTCCCCCTCCACGTTTAGAATCTACGTGCGTCAAAAGCATTTGGTTGCTGCTTATAAATGCCGACAGAGGTGATAGGCCACTTCGTTGAGCCTTCGTTTGTGACGGGCAGGTCGCTTCTGAAAAAGAGCTGTGTGGCTCAGCGGGCCTTACCTGCTGAAATAAAAAAAATAGTTTAGTTTTATCGTGGCGCGGCACATTCTGTCCTTCTTGCCTTCGTTTGTTCATCTAATGTTTGTAAACCTGATCTTGGGCTTTTAGGAATTCAGCGTAAAATTATATCGGATTGTTTCGGTTCGGCGTATCTCTAGTGGTGGCGCCTTATGGCGCTAATCCCGACTTGCAAGTCGCCAGCTTAGCAGCATTTTGTAAAATATGAAGTGACAGATGACACCCTGGTCCCACCGCTCACCCCGTGCAGCACAGCTGGGCCCTGCCGAAGTTCATGGTTGGAATCCCAGTGGCCGCCCTGGTTAATACTGCGGGCGTATTACCAATAAACATATGGGCCGCCTGCCTCACAGCGGACGTTAGAGAGATCGCGCGACGTTGAAAGAGCGGGCCGTGTGTGTGTGTGCGGGCATCGCGGTCCAAATTGATCGTATTGAGAAAAATTGCAGGCAAACATCTTAATTGAGTAAAACCACGAAGCAATATCGCCTCCTACTGGCAGACTATATCCGTCTGTGAAACATCGTGCCTTTGTGAGAGCCCTAATTACAAACCGACTACATTATGGTAATTATAGACATAACAAACTAGGTTTGGCTCTTGGGGCATTTCATAACTCCGGTCCACACGACGCCCGCGACCCTTGATAATTCTTCGTGGTGACCAAAAGAATAAACCCTCCGTTCACGCAACTCAAAGCGCTGCACCACACACACGCACCTGGTAGTAGGAAGTCACGGAGAGCTGCAACGTGGCCGCTCACACAGACTGGGGCTTGAGATTGTACTATTTTGTATCTGCGGAACATAGCCGTGAACTTGCGGTGAATATTTTGTGTGTATGCGTGCGCGCGTGCATACTTGTCAATGCACGCAGATACGGTCCTATCAGTGGGCCTCTCTGGCAAGCAAGGCTGTGCTGGCTGGGTCATGTAGCACCGCAGCGCTCCCCCGCAACCTTTGTTTGATCGGATAAAGAGAGATAAGTGGGGAACAGCGTGGGCTACGGGAAGAAATGGGCTCATGTGGTGCAGGGTGACCTGGAGCCGAGTGGAATTGCCAACGGGCTGGCACCGGGGGCACCAGCGATGGCCCCTTGCGTAACCGGCGGCAGCAGCCCCCCCCCCCGACAACAATGGGCGACGCGGTGGCCAAGAGACGCTGTCAGACAATGAGCAGACAGGGCATCGGTAGCCTAAAGTGAGCGTTTCTAAGTACGGTGGAAAATAAGTATTGTCTACATACATCAGTACGGTTCAGTACGGTTGGCTGCGTGCGGCGCGAAAGAGGTTCAACCTTCATACGTACAGCATCCCCCAGTTACCCGCGTCTGCCATCCCAAAAACACGTGCACCTCATCTAGCCAGCATGGCGACAGCACCGCTACTTACTGGTGGATGCGAGCTGATGGTGATCATCATGTGTGTGTGTCTAGGTGAACTAGGGTACCCCCCCACCCCCGTCGTCGTTTTCCCACGGTTGTCCTCTTCTTGAGGCAGCTGTTGCCCTGGGAAATGTTGCACGGCACTGACATGGATCTTCGGGTCCCTGTTCCTGTCAGGTGCACAGTGATGCACTGCTAGAGACGATGTACGTTGAACTTCTTTTGCACCGTACATAGTTATCTGTGCTCATCGTTTTCCTTCCCTCTTCTGGTATTGCGAGATATTCTTCTTCCCGTGATATGGCCCGGGTTTTCTTCTTGTACCTATCAGAATCCATCGATCAGAATCGTTATTTATACCGGAGAAATCCGATGGGCTGTCAAGCTCTTTTTTTCACACACGTCCAGTCGGGGAGGTCCAGAACGTTAAGACAACAAACAATACAAAAACGCGATAGGAGTGCCAAGTATAGGAAGGGTAAGCAAATCGCAAAAAAAAAATACAAATAAAACTAAACAATTTTTTTTTACGTAAGAGGGGCCAACCCTCTCGTGAACACGCCCGCGTGTGTTTGTACGTGCACCGTGTGTTTGTACGCGCACCGTGTGTTTGTACGCGCACCGTGTGTTTGCACGCGCGCCGTGTGCTTACGCACGCCGTGTGTTTGTACGTGCACCGTGTGTTTGTACGTGCACCGTGTGTTTGCACGCGCACCGTGTGTTTGCACGCGCGCCATGTGCTTACGCACGCCGTGTGTTTGTACGTGCGCGCCGCGCGCTCACGCGTTTTGTGGGCCTCTTTTTCGCAGCGGACGCGATCAACAACGCGGCGGGGTTCGGGTTCAATGGCTACCACAAGAACGGCGAGGCTCGCTGGGACCTCATCTCCAACCTCAACATCTGGAACATTGAGGTTCGGGCAGCTTACTGACGCACCGCTCACCGCTCGCCGCCCACCAAGTACCGCGCCGATGGGTCACGGGGACGGCGACGGATGAGTCCGCGCAGCGCAGTTAGCAAAGTGCTACAGAAGAGACATTTCCCGAAACGTCGCCCGTTATTATGTGAAACGTCGCCTATTATTATTTGTACCTCCCAATTATCACGGTTGGCTACGTGTGGTGCGGAAGATGTTCAACGTACATGCATGCATTTTCTTTTTCTTTCTAAGGACGCACGCAGTGTTACTGACGAATGTGTTGCGCTTTATTGTTACTCGTGCTTGCCCGCACCGCTGCCAACGCAGCAGCAGCAGCATCACCAAATGCTTCGCAATTGGGACGTTGAGTTGTCAGTTCGGTCGGGTTTCCGTTCAGCCCTCGGCTCCTTCTGAGTTGATCAAATGAGTACTCCATCGTGGGAAGTCGGCAGAGATGAGTTCTTTATATAGACTGGCCCCTGTCGTAGGAATGTGGAATTTTCACCACTGGTTCAGGAGCTATAAATAGAGATGAGCACCACCTCACACTATTTTGACCTTTTGAAGACCACCTCTATCACAGTGCACGTAATTAATGTCACAGGACGATGATTGCAGGCCTTCTGCCATGCTCTGTGTATTGCCAGCTGCCTTCACTTGGAGCCAAACAGCTGACACAGTGATTTTCTCAATCATAAATAGAATGTACCAGTGCATCTGATTACACACTGATAACGGACTAACAGTGTGGGATTCTCATGCCCTGCCTTTGGTAATCTTATTACAATGACGACTACAACGGCTTCAGTAGCAGAAATGTCAATGAACGTACGAAAGTTGAACTTCTTTCGCACTGTACGTATCCAACCGTACTAATCGGAGGTGCAGGTGAAGGACAAACTAAACACAAAAAGCAGTTCTAAAGAAATTAGTTTTTAATCTCGATTTAAAAGTGCATCGCTCAGGTGGCCCCCTAATATAAGAAAAGCGTTCCAGACGGCCGTAGAAGTGCATCTGAAAGCGTGCCGTGCGGTGACCATCTTTGTTCGATGGTTATCTAAAAGCCGCTTCTGCGAGGGTGACCGGAGTTTGTGTGATGGTTTATGCTCCCTGACGAGATCGGCGAGGTATTGCGGTTCGTTTGTGGCATTGTGGTTCATCTAAATGCTACAGCATCTCAAGATGCTTTACACAAATTAATAAACTCACTTCGGGGTAGACGGAGGGTAGGGGGTTTGGAGGGAGATCACGGCGAGGAAGCACAGGAGAGAGGAGAGAGCGAGGAGAGTGAGGACAGCGAGGAGAGAGAGGAGAGAGAGAGTGACAACCGTGGCACAACCTCGGGGAAAAAACCCCACTGGGGCCCAGCACCAACGACAACAGCGACAATCACAACAACAACAACGACGGCGAGCCTCAGGGTCAGCCGAGGCGATCGGGGCAGCACCAACGAGCTCCAGCGCATCCTCGTGAGGCCCGGAGTCTATTCACAAACGAGTCTCGGGGCATCTGCGGGGTGCCACGGGGGCCCGTTGCAAACGAGTCTCTGGCTAATTACGCGTAACGCACTGTTGTGTGTGATTGCGTGCGTGCGAGCGAGCGTAAACCATTGCTGATGGTGACTTTTGTGCCGCGGCGATTGTGTTACATTTCTGCTTGTGTTGCCCTGCTTTGTGTCCCTGACGTCTTGTGGTTTCAGACTGCCACCAGCTTCAAGATGTTCCTGGACAACTGGAACATGATGACGGTTCGGTGGCTCAAATAGTAAGGAGACCGCCCGCCCGTGCGCTGTTCACATTGACGCTATGTACGGTGCGAAAGATGTTCGACATGCATACCTCCATGTATATTGAACTTCTTTCGCACGTATGTAACCGACCATGCTAATAGGAGATCCGGGGGAAGGCCAAAAAGTGGTTCTTAACAAATGAGTTTTTAAATCTCTGGCTTCGTGTTTTAATTTCCCTTCGTTATGTTAACACAGTGATAGTTCTATGGAGAGACTGGTCCCCCTCCCCCCACCATAGCATTGTGGAATGTCCACGACCAGTACAGGGGGGCTGAGCAGTTGGTGTTGTGGTTAGTGCTGATGGGGAGGGTGCAAGTTCAAATCTTTGCCTATGGCAAATATCTGAACTGGTGCTGGGCTTTCTCTAGGTCGACTCAGCCTTAAAATGAGTACCTGGTGTGGTGTGTAAACATCACCACTGGGGAGGCTAAGGCGGCAGGGCGTGGTGCTGGTCACCCAACTCCCTCGCGTGCCGTGCCGGCCTTCATAGGTGCCACTCGCTGACAGTGTTTGGCCAAACAGCCTACTGAGGCTCTACGTGGGGATCTCTGTGCTTGGTTTGTGTGTTTTGCGTGCCAGCGTGTGCTTGGCTTGTGTGTTTTGTGTGCCAGCGTGTGCTTGGTTTGTGTGTTTTGTGTGCCAGCGTGTGCTTGGCTTGTGTGTTTTGTGTGCCAGCGTGTGCTTGGCTTGTGTGTTTTGCGTGCCAGCGTGTGCTTGGTTTGTGTGTTTTGTGTGCCAGCGTGTGCTTGGCTTGTGTGTTTTGTGTGCCAGCGTGTGCTTGGTTTGTGTGTTTTGTGTGCCAGCGTGTGCTTGGTTTGTGTGTTCCGCGTGCCAGCGTGTGCTTGGTTTGTGTGTTCCGCGTGCCAGCGTGTGCTTGGTTTGCGTGTTCTGCGTGCCAGCGTGTGCTTGGCTTGTGTGTTCCGTGTGCCAGCGTGTGCTTGGTTTGTGTGTTTTGTGTGCCAGCGTGTGCTTGGTTTGTGTGTTCCGCGTGCCAGCGTGTGCTTGGTTTGTGTGTTTTGTGTGCCAGCGTGTGCTTGGTTTGTGTGTTCCGCGTGCCAGCGTGTGCTTGGTTTGTGTGTTCTGCGTGCCAGCGTGTGCTTGGTTTGTGTGTTCTGCGTGCCAGCGTGTGCTTGGTTTGCGTGTTCTGCGTGCCAGCGTGTGCTTGGCTTGTGTGTTCCGCGTGCCAGCGTGTGCTTGGTTTGTGTGTTCTGCGTGCCAGCGTGTGCTACGACCGCGTCAAGACGTACCCGACGGTGGCCACGTTCGTGCTATCGGCGGCGTGGCACGGTGTCTACCCGGGATACTACTTCACCTTCCTCACCGGCATCATCATGAGCCTGTCTGCACGCGCTGTGAGCTCCCGGCTCGCACACACACACAGCAGACACACCCCAGAGGCAAATATCCCCCGTGTAGCCTTAGCAGACGTTTGGGGCAAGTGCTGCTTGTGAGTTGCACCTATGAAGGCTGGCACAGCACACGAGGGGGTGGGTGGGTAGCACAACGCCCGGCCTTTGTCTTCGTAGTGGTGGTGTTTACTCACCGCACCAGCTATTCATTTGAGGCTGAGTCAACCTAGGGATGTCAACCGTGAGCAGGAATTGAACCTGGGTAACCAGGTTCGTAACCAGGTTCGTAGCGCAGTGCGCTAATGCCACCATTCCCCACACGGACCCATCCCACGTGCGCACGCACGCACACATGTGTATGTCACAGCTGCAGAATTTGGCAAGAGGACGGAAGTCGGTTTGCGGTGTCCGTAGCGAGGTTTGTTGGATCTTGAACGTCTTGGCGCATTTGTTATGAGACGGAGCAACCGGGATTCGCAGGCACGGACTCGTCTCGTAGTTTACCTCCGCGATTCGCCGTTTCTCGTCCAACGCCGGGCTCTGTGGCGAGCGTGCGAGCGTGCGCGCGCATGCCGCTTGGCTTCACTCCGGGACTCCGCGGCTATCGGTGTTCCAGTGAAACGCTCCGGGATTCTAACTCCACCGCTATCAGAGTGCCAGTGTAACGCTTCGTGATTCGAGCTACACGGTTATCGGAGTGCCGGTAAAACGCTCCAGGACTCTAGCTCCACAGTTATCGAGGAGACGGTGAAACGCTCCGGGATTCTAGGTACATGCCTTTCGGGGGGATGGTGAAACGCGCTCCGGGTCTCTAGCTCCACGGCTATCGGCGTGGTGGTGAAACGGACCACGTGTCCTGCTGCAGCCGCGCTTTGCCAGCCAAGCCACATGAACAACCGGAACGTCTGCCAGGAGACGGGACGTAAACAAGCAAAACACTATTTGGGTAGATCAAGGGGTCGATCGAACCGTCTGTGGCCCGAACATCAAAAGGCCCTCTCTCGCTCTCTGTCGTCCGTACGGCTATAAATTGAGTAACATCTATAAACGGACTATCGCCGCCATCTCGTGTCCCATCCTGTTAACAATGATGCCATCGCTGGGATATGGAACGCGTCGTTTTGGCGACATCCCGGTATGCGCACCACGGACTAGCACCCGATGAAACTGTGGTGATTCTCTGCACCGGTCCAAGGCGAGGAAAGAATGCTTCTTCGCTTCCCTTCTTGAACCGCTCGTTCAAAACGCTCTCCGCTTCATTGTCACCAGCAAGTCGCTTTCTCCACGAGGGGATTCCTTTAACTGGTTATTGACATTTCTAACACGTTCAGAAGTGGAACACACAGTATTTCACGCGCAACAACGAGAACAACCGCCTTTTGCCGAGAAGTGGCGGTGACGTCACCACGGCGCTTGAACCAGGCCAGGTGTGCTCCGAAGCCATGTGAAGTGTCGAATGCTCGCTGACAGGTCACGGGACAGACCCAGGTGCTATGGGTTTACTGACTGAGGTGACTGGCAGATGCACCACCTGTGCCCCCTAATGTGCCAACTCGCCGTATTTTAGCTGCCCGTCGCTCCGTTCGTTGTTGTGAGCGTCGCTCCTTTGCCCTCTGTTGCTGGAGGGCGACTGCCTCCAACTGCCCAGTAGTTGCAGCAGCAGCAGCGTCCTTCACGAGCCTCCTCCACAAGAGGCCGATCTTGAACACCGCTGGTGCCAGTCTTTCGACAAGTCCACTCCAAACCGCCGCTGCGCAGCTATAAAGTTCTAATCCTCGGGCCCATCGCACGCACAGAATTCCGCGACGGAGTCATACGTTGGCAGTGCCCACGGGGGTTGCTGCTCGATCAGATGGTCAACGCGAAACCCGACGCCTCATTTCCATGGCGCATGAGATACGTCCACTGAATTAGACAGCGCTCAGTCCCCCCACCCCCCCCCGTGATTTGATGCTCTCGGTTGTCGCCAGACTGACTGAAAAAAAAACCTCCATTACAGTTGCTTGCTTCGCGAGCACCACATTTGTGGGAAGTCGTCAGTGGTTGTCATATATGAAAATAAGAGCCTACAAACATGTACATACTTACGTGTGTGAAATTTATGGATTTACAAGTGTGTGTTGAACTTATTTCACACCGCACGTATCCAGACCGGGTGGGTGTATTAGCAGGTGGCAGCCCATTTGGACCAAGTCGTTTTTGGCATCTGACTTGTCCTGCAATTTCCTGCCATTTTCCCCGGTCTGCCTTGACCAAATGGACAGTCGCTTCTTTATAAAAAAAATTTCGTTTCCGTGTGGCGTAGGGCCCGCTCATTGACACGACCACCCCGCCTCGCCGCTCGTCTTAGCAAGGAGACGCTGGCTTCCTGAATCGCCATTGTCCTTCACTTGTTGTCGTCATTGTAACCTTGTTTACGTTAGCCCGGCTCTCCACGGTGGCTTTAGCTCGCGCGTGTGCTTGCGTGCGTGCTTGCGTGGTTTCTCGCACCGCGCGTCTCGGCAGATGCGCAACAACTTCCGGCACTACTTCCTGGGCTCCAAGACGGTGAAGGTGGCGTACGACGTGGTGACGTGGGCCGCCACGCAGCTCTCCATCTGCTACACGGTGGCGCCCTTCGTCATGTACGGCATGAAGCCAGCGCTCGACTTTTACCGGTGAGCATGAGCCAGCGCCGGCATCTTAGAATTGGGTCGCATGGGCGGGCGGACGGATCAAAGAGAGCGAGGACTGAGTGAGTGAATTGATGAATGCATGGTTGAGTGGACCGTTGACTCTGGGTGAATGAGTGAGTGAATAGGCAACGGAGGCAATGGGTGAGATATAACTGATGAATGACAAAGTGAGTGAACTGGTGACTGAGTGGTTAAGTAATTTAGAGAGTGAATTTGTGAGCGAATCAGTGGGCAGGCTTGTAAGCGAGTGAATGAATTGGCCAATTGACCGGTTACTGAGTGAGTAAGTGGGTGGATGACTGGGTGAACCGACCAGTGACCGAGTGGATAAAGTGAATGGCTGGGTTGGCGATTGCGTGAGTGAGATGGCAACAGAGTGTGTGGATGAATGAATAACTGGGTAAATGAATGGACCAATGAATGAGCAGCTGGGTTCGTGATTGAGTTGCAGAATGGATAGGTGATGGAGTGACAGAGTAACTGAGTGCACGAGTAAGTGAATGGGTGAATGACCGTGATTGAATCGGTGTTCATTGACAGTGGGGGTAAGGCACTGCAACAGTCGGTGAGAGCGTGAATGAGTGAGCAATGGTCAGAACGAGCGACGGAACATCAGACCACGGCGCTGACTTCTCCACGACTGAACGAACGGGTGGGTGACGGAGTGACAGAACAAACGGAAAGATGAGCGAGTAAAACTGGTGATCAACTGAGTGAATTTAAAAGTGACAGTTTGTAAACAATTGAATATGTGAACGAGCAATTGGGACAGCACGGGAACTGGCTGAAGTTGTGAGCGAGTGAAGGAACAAACAGCTGAGTGGACTGGCGGGTGGCTCGGTGAAGAGTGAGATGTCACATTAACATTGGCTGACGCCAAAATTAAGTAAATTCAGCTGTGACGGTCCCACCTGATGACGGAGACTTGTGTTGCCTCCGAAACGTCGTGATTTATTATTTTATTTCTATTATTTTTATTATTGCATTTTTTTTTCTATTTTTATCTACGTGACTTTACCGAAATAACCTAAGAGTATGAATCCTTGCAGTCACGAAAACTTCAAATCTAGAATTGATGCCAAGATGTCCCCTCGACTTAAAACAAATACATCTGACTTACGTATATTAATTAATTCCACAAAGCATACCTGAACCCGCCATCACTGTGCATACAAATGCATTTCAATGACGGACCAATACCCTGCCGAGAGCGCTCGACCTGCAAGGCGGAACGTCACAAGTTCGATTCCCAGCCAGGTGTTTGTGCAGCCCACCATTCATCCGTGTGGTGCATAGAATGCATGTGCCACTTCGTGGCAAGCCAGTGCATGCCTTCACTCGGGAGTGTCATTTTCTAGATTTGAAGTTTTCGTGACTGCAAGGATCCTCTTTGGTTTTTTCGGTAAAGTCACGTAGGTCATAAATTAAAATGAAAAAAAATAAATTAAATCACGACGTTTCGGAAGCAACACAAGCAACCGTCATCAGGTGTGACTGCTCCAGCAAAATTACTGAAGTTATTAAGAGACAACGTGTTTAGTGAATTTTTCTTTATTGGCTACAAGCAGATCGAAAACACAGTCCCAGTATTGAGCGTGAAGGTAATCACCGACTCTTGTTGCCAAGGCTTGGGTCTGCTGCCACCTGTTGGGGAAAAGGTGAAATTTTCATCCCAAAGGCATCATCCAGACATAAAGTGTTCATTGCATAGCTAATACTTTGTGTGAAGTTATCAGTGGTTGTCCTATGCAGAGACTGATCCTGCCATAGGAACATGGACTTGCCATTACGTGCTTATTATTGGAAATTCAGACAGGAATTCATTGGTACTTATATACTTTATTTGTATCTAGTTATTTATTTTTAGTGACTTGCTTACCTTTTCTCCAATTGCTTATTTTTGTATCGTTTGTTGCTGTAACTTGCTGACCCGCCCCCTACCGGACATCTGTGCAAGAGAGCTTCACAGCTCATCGGATTCCTCCTCCAGTCTAAACAAGGCGTTCCGATGTCTGATCATTTGAGCTGAAAGACGCACCGACGTGCGAAACCATCTGAAGAGAAGAAACTGGGCTTCCAGCGGGGGTTCCGTTTACAATGACGGACGATCGAAACGTGCTCACAAACATGACTCCTTGTAAAAAGGTGTCAGTTTTGTTGCCAGATAGAAGGGTAAAAAACCAATTATCATACTTTTACTGGCAAATGAGGTTCCCATAGTGTAGATGCTTGCCCCGAGCTCTCATACTCTGATGGTGCATTGTCTTTGAGTTGTGCGCCTTTTGGCATCATCTAGTCCAACCCATGTGAGACTAGGCTCTAAGGAAAGCTGTCTCGGGTGTGGACCAATCAACTTCAAGGACAGTGCACATTATCAGAGTTATGTCTTTTGTTTGTATTATGACTGCAGGTATTGCGGTCTATGCAAACATGACTCCTTGTAAAAAGGTGTCAGTTTTGTTGCCAGATAGAAGGGTAAAAAACCAATTATCGTGCTCAGGGTGTCCGTCGTCTGCCCACCCCCCCCCCCCCCCTTGCAGGTCCATGTACTACTGCCTGCACGTGGTGACGGTGGTCATCCTCCTGGTGCTGCCCATCAGGGCGCGACCTCTGGCCCCGACGGTCACGGCCAGCAGCCCCACCAACCACACCCAGGCCAGGAAAACACAGTGACCCGCCGCCACAAGGGCCCGGAGCGGTCCCTGGCCTCGTGGACTCCACTCACAGCTGACCGAACGAATGACCGTCCGTCTGTCCGACCGTCCGATTGACCGACTGTCCGATTGACCGATTGACCGAACGATCGTCCGACTGTCCGACCATCCGATTGATCGACCAAACGACCATCCGACCGTCCGATTGGCTGAATGACCGACTGACTGACCGCAGTCGACAACCGGCGGAAAGAGAGTTACGGCGGGCGCGCTTTTGTTTGATAGAAATTTTAAATGTTCAGAACAACTGAAATCGACACTGGGGTCTCGGCGTGAGCTCTCCGAGGTCGCCCCTCCTCACCTTAAAGGAAGACACAACGCAAAAAAACTAATTGGGCTCTATTTTACTCTGTTTGAATACGATCTTGAGGTGTCAGTTAAAATCCGATGACGTCAGTAATTAATGAATTTTGCCTTCTGGCTCCGGCTCCCAGCTATGCGGCAGAATACCCCATAGCTCCTGTTGCACTGGGCTTCATAGGCTAAAATGCAGCTCCCACAATGCACTGTCTGTCGCGTGGGAAGCTGAGATCATGGGGCTCCCATCGCATCACCACAGTGTGGCTGCGACGTCACACAAGGGTGCAACGCAATGGTGGTGAGCCTGGAAGTCATTTGGCTTTGACTTTCAAGTATTTTTTTTAATTTAAGAAGCTTCAGTCTTGTGTCGCCCAGCCTGCAACCAACGACCCCGACCGAGATGGGCGTGTAAAGTAAGAAAAGATATATAACCAGTTGCTTTTTTGGGGAAGTGTCTTCTTTTAATCTACAGCACCCCCCCTTCCCCCTGCCCCCCCTCCCCTCGGGGCAACACAGCTGAAAAAAAAGTGCCACGTTGAATACTGAGATTCCTGAAGCCACGCGCTTTTTGAGGCCACAGTCGAAAGGGAAATCTACCGTTGGTTTTGGTCGAATCTCTTTTCTTTTCCGCGCCGCCCTTCCCCGACCACTGTCGCGATCGCAGAAACGGTTTGCCCGACCGCGAGCGGCGCGCGTGAGAAGCTTCGGGGTTCAGCGCTGTCCGTGGTGCGCGACGAGCATCGAACCGTGTTCCCGGCACCCTCTGCCGATGTTTGCTTAAACGGCCTTGTGGGTAAATAGACTTAACGAGCAACGAGCCGGGAGGACAAGAGTGGCGTCCTCCTGAAGACACCGTCATTTGTCGCAAAACAAATCTGCTAGGAAGGCACAATCTTTGGCGGGATAGTATTTAAAATCCTTGCAATTGATGCGTAATTCATTATGTATTGTAAAAAAGTATGAAAAAAACATCGCATAATTCCACAAGCAGCTCAACAAGAATGCAAAGGTCTGTGTCAACACTGTGAGTTGTCTAGACGAGAGCTTTTAACTCCGCTGGCCTTATTGGGAAAACCCAGATGGGGTGGGGTGGATGGTTTGGGTGTGTCGCAGACCTTTGTGGGAGTGTCGTCAATTATAATACCGGTCTTCATGACCGATCGCTCGTTAGTTCGGGGTGTTAAAAAACGCCGCAGGTTTTAACTTCCGGGGCGTGGTACGTGTTTGCCAAACGTCCGCTGTCCGCGTGTGTGCTGTCGTGCCGATTTTTTTTTTGCAGAGTGTCAGCTCTATGTTGCAAACATGCTGTGTTTCAAATGTCTTGGGGTGCATCCAAGTGCTCATAAACTTCACATACATGTTCACGCGGGGGTTAAACGACACCAGTTGAGAGAGAAGTGCTTACCGAAACCTCAAACAATACGAACGCCAGTAACTTAAACTGTAAAACACTTACCCAACAATACGCATACCAAAAATAACGACGAGCTCAATGAAAACGGGCTTGCCTACGCAGGCCTGTGGGCCCGCACCTCCTTCGTGAGTCGCAGAATTGCAGCGTCTCCCCCTGGGCGGCCTGCTTCTGCACCGCCCTTGCGCACGGAACTCCGTGGATCACGCGGCACAGACCAACACCCCTGACCCCTGTCACGGATGGGCACCGCTGACCTTAGCGCACACCGACACCGCTGCTGGAGTAATGCAGCGTTTGCCAGCGTTTTCAGTCGAGGGCCCTCTGGCTGTATGCGGTAAAGCCACATTTTTTTACGGTGCTAAATGTTTTTTGTTTTTTCACCAATGAAGCTTCGCACTTCTGTTGTACAGCCGCTGATGCGCAGACTAGTTCCACAACCGGCAAAGAAAAAATAACTGCATTTTGTTTTATATTTGGATCGCACCTTCTTTAAATGATTTCGGGCCATTTGAAAGGTCCCATGGTGTACACGACAGTGACGATCGCCATTGGAGTCTTTAAACTCGCCAAAATATACCCTGCCCCTGCAAGCCGAATACATGGCAGGGGATGGGATGGGATTGACGTCTCTGTGTATCGTCGATTTAAGTCTGGAACGTAACCGGTCGATGTGAACGACTCTCGACTCGCGACGCTCTGCGTTGTGGCAACGTGTGGTGCTGAGCCCGGCGAAGTGGTGGGGGGTTGGTGGGGGGGGTTGGTGGGGGTAGGGCACACGATGAAGCGTCTGGGAGAAGCCGCCGGAGCGGCAGCGGTGGACAGAATTTTCACGTTTCCCAAAATAATCGGCAGTGAGTTGTGGCTACTTTTGCGCGGCTCGAACGGTGTGAGGCCGTATGGTTACTTGGGCCAAAACGTAAAAACAGAAAAACGAGCTCAGATGTTGTGTTGTTCCCTACGATGCCGAGGTTGCTCTTTAGGGAGCGTGGTCAGGCCACAATTTGAACGCTTGGCCCAAGAGCCAACACCGCGATGTCCACAAGGGAGGACGGGAAGGAAGCCGCCCTTCCGTTCGTGAACCGCGATTGCACAGATCGGTGCCGTAGGCTTACGAGCAGTCGTTTCATGAAACGGGGGACCTAAGTGTGTGACCGTGAGTAGCTGCGCTCTGTGTGCGTGTAATCGTTGCATCGGCAAGTCTGCTGCTTCTTTACGTCCACGCCGCGTTGGGATGGAACGCTGCACCGGGTCATTGATCAGGCAGGTCAAGGCAGAGAGTGGCGGTGCACGCCTGCGATCACGCAAAGGAGCTAAGCCTACGCCGCCCGCCCTCCCTTGCGCAGGGCCGCAAAGTCTTTCCAACAGGAGGCAGTGGAAGCAAGCGTGTCATTTGCCTGTTTGTTTTTGAGTGTTGTTCACTCGTGTAAGATGGCATTTTCTCCAGGCCCTCTGGCTTCCTGGCATGTGCAATGCAGCAGCCGGCCAACCGATCCCCATGCTGAAAGTGAGTCTCGAAGCTCCGTTAAGCGTCATTGGGTTCTGCGAAGCAAGGACTGACTACTTGTGTTACAGATATCTTAAGAGGGCTCATCAGTCTGACGCCGCAACGCCCGTGCGTGAATGAGTCACGCAGAACGGATGTTGCAGCTTCAGTAGCCGAGCCCCCTACTGCACAGTACAGTCCTTCACCCCCCCCGCATCTCCGATTAGCACGGTTGGCTGCGTTCGGCGCTAAAGAAGTTCAACGTACGTGTACATCCATGGAAAGCGTGGGCAAAAACTGAGGAGATCACCATAGGTTGCAGTGGGGAGGAAGGGCAAAGCGTGGGTGGAGCACACGAGCCAGCCACACTCTGACCCCTACCGCTCTCCCCCACAACACTCGGCATTCAGCCACGACTAATAGGCCGAGGTTTTCATTTACTGTTCAATTACACAGATTGAGCGGCGACACTGCCTCGGCAGTGGTGCACAAGCACAAACAATGACGCGACGCGTTCAGTCAAGAGCGCAGCCTTGACAGGAACGGTAGATGATTGGCGGCATCTCGGGCAGTGGCTCTTCTTCATAGCCCATAGAGGCCAGAGAGGGAGAGTGGATAATAGTTGGACTCTCTCTTCATGTGCCATGAAGAAGGGCATTTGTGCTCAATTCAACTTTTAATTTTACCAGCTAAGGTCCACTGAGCTATATGGCTATTTTTCAGATGCGACCTGGCCACAAATGATAGCACAACGAAGTGGCTTATCGTGTGGAAATTTATATCAGCCAAGTATCCCTTAGCGCATGTTGATTCTAAATGCGTGGGGGGAAAAAACCTGAGGAGACAAATCCACGCGACCACGGGGAGAACACGCACACTTCAAATATACAGCAGCAGGCGTCGGGGTCGGGATCGAACTGACGACCTCCTGTGTACCAGGCGAGGCAGTTAACATCTCGCCACCGTTGCAGCTCCCATTTACTGTTCCGCAGGCCACCGTTTGTAACACACGCGCTCCGTGCCTGAACGCGAGCGTTGGCACCGGCGGTGTTGTCGGCTTGTCGCGGTTGTGCCATCTCTCCCCAGCGCCGCTTTTCGGTTGCGCCGCGCGTCGTCCGGCGCGACGTTCTGCCGCCGCCCGCTGGGACCTCGCTCGGGGAACCGAATCGAGCAACCGACCGCCCCTCAATCGTCGGGCCGAACGTCGGACGTTGTGCTGGACGCCGGACGGAACGACCCGAAATAGCCAACGATCCGCTGGTTGACCCCCCCCCCCCCCCCCGAACTCCTTGATGTTGTCGTCGTCGGTGACGATTCGACGACGGCCGTGTTGCCGCACGTATTTCAGCGCTACGCAGGATGTCCGCGCAGAGCGGGGAACGCAGGGGAGGGAGGGGCGTCGTGTTGAGCTTTATGTTCCAGCTCTGCAAGATTTCAGCACCTTGTCAAATTCTTTGGCCAAGTAATTATTTTGATAGTTTGATAGTTCCCCCCCCCACTCTCTCCCCTTCTCCAAAGCTACATGCCCAAGATGAGTGAGGGAAAGGATTCGCTGAGATCGTACGTGCGTGCGGGGGGAATGGCAGGCGGGGCGAATCGGCACGGGGGGGGGGGGGGGGGGTTCAACCCTCCGACCTCCCGGTGTGGCGCGCGAACATCAGCGAGAGGGAGAGACAAAGGCGGGCAGGAGCGACGCTGGCTTTTGTCACGCGAATGTTGGCAGCACTTGCACCCGTCTCGATGCTGAATGGGGGATCTTGGGTCTTCTTGCTTCAGGCGAACTAACTCCCCTTCATTTAAATTACCGTAAAGCGACCTGTCGTAAATGTGCCTTTTGTTTAGGAAAAAAACCATTCAACTCGGCTTCGTTCATTCGGTGAATATCTGTCGTCTGCAGATGTAAATAATAATCGTACCCGTATGCTTAGAAGGTGGCACCGAGCAACGCAGACCCTGCCACGCCGTGTCAAGCGCACAGCTCCGCGCGGAACCTGACGCTCACCCCAGGTGTGCCTCGTCGTTTTTTTTTTCCCCTACCTCTGATGAGCACGAAGCTTCGAACTCGTGTCGAACAGCCCGGAGTACACGGCAACTCGCCGCGCGTGTAAACAAAACAGCAGCAGCTCTTTGCTTGTCGAGGTTTGCGCTTTCATCACGAGGATACTTACGTCACGGCCACAAACTTGTTTGAGATTGTGGTCCGTGATTGTACAATGTGTTTTTAACAGGGCCGATGGGTGGGAAAGTAGAACTCAAAGCCACTGATGTATTTGATTGAAGCAAACTCCTCTGTTATTATTTTATTTAGCGTGGAGCGCCGGTGCAGTGGTGAGCGCACGGCATCACAAACTCAAATACCCGAGTTCGATTCCAAGTCACATCGGTGGTGAGTGAAATCTGAAGCCGGTTCCTGGGCCCCACCTTCACCAACCCCGCACTGACCAGCGTGGTGAAGTATGGTCAAAAAAACCCACGTGATCGACGCGTTACGTGGGGCTTCCGCTGTATTAACCGGGGGACGTGCAATCGCACTGCCCTTTATTTTGAATGGAAATTGTAATTGGCGAAAGCGCCGACACTGAATATACATTTCAGGAATTGCTATATTCGCAGCCACGTTTCACTCATCGGTCTCGCTCTACTCTTGCAGCGAGTTAACCCTTTAACCAGCAGCGGTGTTGGCGACGGTGGTTGGGGTTGTTTATGTGGGTTACACCGCGACACGCTGGCCGTTCATTCTGGCCAGTGTGGGTGGTAAAATAAAAAGGTTAAACTCGGCTTGATAAGCGGCGATGGTTGAGAGCACGCAGGGAGCACTAACTGTGACCTAGCACTTTGAAGGTGGGGTTTTGACGGGTCTTACGCTCCGCGGTGATCAGTGGATGGCAGCGGATTTGCTGACGCGTTTGTAGGGATTTTGGGAGCGCTGACTGCTCGTACATGAGCGGTCTCCGGGCACTCCGGTTTCCTCCTGCAACGACAAAAAAAACACGTCTTTAACGAGGAACTCGGAAAATGTTCAATTGCGCAAGATTCTCTTTAAATGAAGGTCTTAAGATACCATTTGTTTCGATCAGAGCAATCGCCTTACCACTCTACCACAGCAATTGTTGTGCGGCGTAGGACAAACGCCCAACATCCTTTAAGCATACAATAACATTTCCATTAAAAAAATGATTAATATCAAGTTGTAGGTTTTTTCACTTCAATGATGCTTCAGTTTTAGTTTTAAAACATTTATATTACATTTCTACCGCGTTTTCTTACAAGGGAATAGTTTCTAAGCTCAGGGTAATTTAATTTGCAGGAAACGTACGGAACACTGCAGTAGCGAAACTCGTAAAGCATTGTATGCTGTTCAACTGTCAGTATAACAGAATGCGTCTTTTTGTAATTCAAATAATTTACAAGTATTATTTGTCATGATGAAACTGCAGTTGGTGTAAATCACGTCTGCACAATACAACTACAATGCACATGTATCGTTTAATGGGTCCCGCTGTATTCTTGAACTTCTTTCGTACTGAACGTGGCCAAGCATGCTCAGCGGAGGTTGCGGTGGTTGCCTGCGAGATTAGAGCCATCATCACACATTGGCATCGTTTTATTTGAACAACTATGGCTGGATATTTAGCGACGAGATTACTCTTCTGGTCACATTCTGGCTCGTTGCCAATTGCCAATGGGAGCTGTCGGTGTTAAACGCTTGCCGGGAAGGTAGAGAGAGAGAGGGAGAGAGACGAGAGGGTCTTCTGTTCTTTCCTAAAATTAACCAACATCGGATACTGCCGTGGTGCGACGGTTGAGCACACTGGACCCGCTATCCCAGAAGTCGCCGGTTCAATCTCCCGGCGCGGCAGTTGAACCAACGCTGCAAGTCTCTTAACACCTCGCCGCCTCTGCCGAGCCACGCGGTAAGAAATGGTTACCACCACAACGAGTCGCGAGGGACGGGAGTTAAGTACGGCTTTCTCCCACCGCTTCAAAGACGTCTGGCCGGCGTGGAAGAGTAGGCCAAATGCCCTCCCGAGGGTGCTCTCTAGAGCGGCCTCTAGTGGAGACCTTACTGCTGCCAGCAGTGGTGTGAGCGAGCAATTGCAGGGCTGCACCTTTATATATATTTTTTAAAACATAACTTTATCAACCAGTGTGCCATTCAGAATATGCGCGTTCCAGTGGAATGTATTGAAACGGCGGACCAAGTTTCAACTTCTCTGAGTCTCATCTGCATGCTTTGTGGCCCTTGAAATGAACGCTGGCTGCCGAGTTCCCTGCTGGTGTTATCGGCGAGCTCTCTCCCTCCATAGCGAGAGCTCCTCGATTTTAGCGCAGGAAAACAGTGCGTGAAGGACATCACTACGGCAGATTGCCGTACATCGTTGAATGAATGAGTGAATGGCAATGGAACGAACTCTTAAGGCATTCCGGAATGAGTTTGTATAATTCGGCGACTTCTTGTTGCTCTGTTCGTCACCGTGTTTTTTGTTGTTGCCGGTTTAGTATATGCAGTGCCACTCGTAAGCTAAGGGGGGGCACGTTCGCGCCTTCGCACTGAGCGTGCGTGACCAGGTTGGCGTCCGTGAGGGGTTAATCGTCTCTCGTGCCAATAAAATGTGGAGTTTTCACCGCTGGCCGTGGGCACGCCAATGCAAAAGAGTGCCATCGTCCCGTTGCTCGTACTGAGCGGGGGGAGGCACTTTGACCTTTTGACCTGACTTGCTCATCGTAAGAATGAGTAAAATGATGATGCTGATGATGATGTCGAGTGAGGGATTATTGTGGTCGGTGGTCATTGTAATAATAACCCCTTCAAACGAGACGTGCCGTTTCTAGGGCTTATTCGGGTGAAATATTTTGAAACATTAAATCAACACATCGCTTACCTAGTTGCACAATTGGCCTTAAACAATGTAATTCACAATATTAAACTTGACATCTCAACTTAACACTAAAATATATCCTCCGGTGAGCACAATTGCGTACGAAAGCAGTCGAGGATGCTATTCTTTAACTTGCCGCGTAATTAACAGCGGCTGCAAGCTCGCACCCGTACGGGCGGCGTGACGTGTTCGCTTTCACTCAAAGCCGCCCCCTCTTCAGCGTTCCCTACGGAACATACGCTTCGTGAGAGATGATAGCAAAGGGCGAACCAAAACGTGACGTAGCTTATAACAATGAGGCACGCGAATAGTTTTTATTTATTCTTACGTCGGTGCCGCCGTCCGCAGAGTTCTTGTTTATCCGTCACGTTTAGCGTATTCCCGCCGGGCCTGTGCGTGTTTATTTTTGACGGTCAGACTGGGGCTGCCTCCTGCTCTCAATACTTCCCGCCCCCCGTCAGGGCTCCACGTTGTGTTTTGACCGCTGACGAGACGTACGTACGTTGAGCTTCTATCTCGCCGGAGGTGCGGCGGAAGATAAACAAACGATGGGTCTCCTTGTGAGCCGATGTATCTATGTTCAACTTGTTATAATAATCGGGTTTTTCCCCTTTTTTCTGGCAACAAAACTGAAACCTTTGTCACGCGTTTGAGCTGTACGCCTTTTGGCGTCCTCTGGTCGAGCACCAATTGAGACGAGGCTCAAAAGAAAGCCGTCTCTGGTGTGGACCAATCAGTTTCAAGGACAATGCATATATTATCAGTGTGTTTTTTGTTTGCATTTTGACCACAAGTATTGTGGTTAATGCAGACATGATTCCTTGTAAAAAGGTTTCAGTTTTGTTGCCAGAAAAAAAATGGAAAAACCCTATTATTAGATTTTGGTACTGGCAAAGGAGGTCTAATGATATGTTCAACTTCTTTCGCACCGTACGTAGCCAACCGTGCTAATCGGAGATTATGCGACTGGGAAACGCTCGCCAGAAATTGTCGTAAAAAAAATGGACATCCGCGCACCATGCCTCGCAGCGTCGTGTCATGGCCACTCGCGACGACGATTATTGTGCCAGCTTGTCCAGTGTTAGAGAGTCACGAGTTACGCTCATCGGATTGCTATAAGCAGCCACTGGTAATCGCACATTTCGATTTTGTTTTCAGTTGCGTAAAGAGATTACCGTTACTTGGCAAGTATTCGTTGGTTACTTTTTTTAATAATTCGTTGTCAAAATTTGTATTATCTGAAAACCAAATTATCGGGTTAAATGATGGTAACCCAGCAAGCTTGGGTTAAGAAAGAAGCAGCCAATGCACACAGACCATCATGCACAAGCCGTTCTGGTACCGTGCTGTGAGCTCTGAGCATCAATCAATGACATGGCCATTGATTTGTGAATCGTGTTACATTACTACAGAGTAGTAGGTTTTTGCGCTGTGTTGTAGCCCTCCAATGTGGCTAATTCGCATCAGGAGGTAAGCCAGATTATTACATTGCTCTTAAAGTACCGCATGTGTGTCCAGACGTTTTAGCGATCGTTCATCGAAGGATCGATTTTATTTTTCAACGCTGCAGTTTGTTCACGCGATTATTGGACTCCCCAATAATGTCAATTAACAAGCAAAGCTGCTTGTGTGCCAATGCGAGTGGCAAACAACCAGCTGCCGTTTTGTGTCCGTATCAGAACAATGACGTTGGGTGAATGCATTTAAATTATGTCATCATCAGCCATGCTTTATCCACTGCTGGATTGAAGGCCTTCCTGAACCGTTGCCGTTTCTCGTGATTCTTCGACGTAACGATCCACCCAACCACCTCTGCCTTGCACACGAGCCGAATTCATTGCTCCATCTCCTTCGGTGGACGTAAACCTTGGACACGTTGCATTCGTTGATAGAAAAAAAATTCGTACGAATTTATAGCAATCGGTCGTAGGGGATTCTATTTTCAAAACCAATCGGCGCAAACAACAAAACCACAACATTGCATAGCGTACTCAACGCCACGTGAATGCGACGTGACAACTTCTTCAGGCCGTGTGCACGCGGTGGTGTGCACGCGGTGGTGTGCACATGTGAGTGGCGTGCATCCGCAGTGGTTGAGTGTGACGGAAACAACATTTCTGAATGGAGCAGTGTAAGCTTCTGAGTGAAACGTTGCGTGATTTTCAGTCGTACTGTGATCATGACTCGTAGCCCTATCAGGAAGGCAGTAACCGACTGGTTCTGATACTCTGCTCACTCCGTGCTGCGCTGTCAGCCCTTTGTCAATCCACTGCTGTTTGAAGGCCTCCCTACACCTTTTTGGTCATGCGGGTAGTTTGACCATACTTCACCGCACTGGCTCGTGCGTTTTTAATGGAGAGGGGGCCAGGTTCCGGCCGAGATATCGCTACTGATGTTGACCGTGGACGGGAATCGAACCCGGGTTGTAGGTTGAGCGTGCACAGTGCTGCCGCCCCACCTATTCAGTGATTCTTTTTTTTTTTAAGGCAAACATTTGCTGTAAAATAGATTGTCATCACTACAGAAAGCCGATCAAACTGAAGGTGAAACAAAATCAGTAAGTGGCAAAATCTTTAAAAAAATATTATTCTTGGGTTATTCTCTTTCATCATGAACAGTCAACAACTCATAACTCTTGCTGTAGCAGTGTGTGTTCGGCAACAGGAGAGGGATAAATACGACAGCCCTTTCCTCCCACCTTCAACTAAACCAGTCAATGCTTGTAATCATTGCAAAAAAATGGGTGCTTCGCATCACCACAAAGTTATTCGTTATTGTTGAAATATTGCCGAGATTGGCTAATTCTGACATCGGGGTATTGGAGCGCGCGTTCCAATACCTACGTACGGTGCGAAGGAAGTTCTACATCCGTACGTCAGGGACTCTTCACCATCGTTGTTGTATGAAGGGTCGCCAAACCCACGCTGCTCGCGACGCGAGCTCGTTAGCAGCTCGTTAGCTGCTCGCGACGCTGGACCTGGGGCCCATGTCGTGTCAATTCCCGTCTACTGTCGTAGCGAAATGCTGCACCCTTATTTATAACTGTGTATGAAGATGAAACGCGGTTAAACTCTTTTGTTTAATGCGCATATGTCATCGGTATTGCGTTTCAGTGTTTATTTCTTTTTGACTGCTTGATAAGCTTCATTTTAGTTTTTTTCGTGGTAAAATATTTCTCAACGTTTGTATTTTTTTCAATCACACTGCATTTGACCGGAACTCTTTCCATTGAGAAGTAGAGCCACGTGCGTACATTCTTGCCTTCCACCACCGTCGCAATGTGCAACTTCCTCAAACGTTGCAGAGCCACCAACAGAGTTGAGCATTTGCCCCTACGCCTGCTTGAGAACAGGGGGATGATCTTCGGCTCGCGTTCTTGGGGTTACACCGAAACATTTATCCCAAGATATTTTTCTTTTCCATTTCAGTCTCTCGCCGCGAATGGCTTTTCCTCACTTAGAGGGAGACGTAATACCAGAAGAGCCGACCTCGGAGATTGGACACCGACTGAAACGGCTGACAGATCTAAGCGGCAAGGTGTTGCGGTGACGACGCCACCGTGGCGTGATCCGCGCTGACCTCTTGACCCTTGAAAGCGACGTCGGTCAACGTTTCTCACGGAGGCGTCTTGGAGATCAGCGTTTAGGTCGTCTTCGCCACCCCCACCCCGCACCCCGCCGCAATAACAAAGACGGCCATCGAACTCTGCACGGCGTCTCGAGACACCGTCGCATTTGGGCGTTGCGTAAATCCAAATGGTCATCGCTTCATGTGAAACAATCGGCGTCGTCCGGGGCTCCTTTGAATGCACGTGGCTTTATTTGTAAGTGGAAATGCAGAAGGGAAACATGGTTAATGTAAAAAAAAATTTAGGAGTGGCTCAGTGTTTAGCAAAATCCAGGCGTACTGCTTTGAGTGTTTCGGGATTGTATGTCCGCGTGTCTTTACAGACATAACTCGTCATCGATGGGATTAAAAATGTGCACAAAACTGTCATCATGAGATTTTTTTTTACACTTTTCAAACGCTTTACCAAAATACGTTTTGCAAAATTGTGACGTTATTTTTCACTGCATTCGGGTATTGTTTCGAAAACATCGTCAACACTAAATGACAGTTTGATTTTTGTGTTCTGTGTTTTGAGTGTGCTTCCCAAATGTTTTTGTTTAAATGGCCAAAGTTTTAAATCTGCGTAATGTATGTCGGATAAATCCAACAGTTGAAATACCCCCGACTTTTTTGTCCACGCTTGGCATCCACACGTTTGTAATTGTGCTTTGGGGAAAAAGAAGAAGTCATATTTGGTTGTTAATTTGTTTTGTAAAACTATCATCTAACAAAAAACGCATACTCTGTACTCCACAGCCCACCCCAGGTCTGAAGTGAGAGAGCTGCAATGTTACCAGACATGCACGACGCATCAATTCAAACTGAAACCGATATCACATGCTGAAGATGTGCACGTCAAATTGTGTGCATAAACCTGTTACGGGGTGCCGCGGTGGCGAGATGTTAACTACCTCGCCCGGTGTACAGGAGGTTGTGGGGTTGAAACCGACCCTGATGTCTGTATGTTTGGAGTTTACATAATTCCTCACCGTGGTCGCGTGACTTTTTCCCCGGGTCCTCTGGTTTTTCCCTCGACGTTTATAAAACATGCGTTTCGAGTATTTGGCTGGGCCTTATCTGGTCAAATAAAAAAATTGTTGATTATCTGTTTTATGTGTGCTGGGATTCATGTGACCCTTGCAGCCACTCGAGGCACTCCGTTTAGCGCGACGTAAAAAGAATAAGGCATCGATTCTTGATTCGAATCGCAACCCCAAATCGTGGCAATTCATCCATTTAAATTGGAGGTGAATGACTCCGTGCCGATCCCTCGCTCTGCATCATTGATTGTTGTGGTCACAACTCGTGCTTTGTATGTAAAACTTGGCACACACCAGCCCACGCGTGACGCTTGCGCGTTGCACTTTCTGAAATATTTTTAAAAAGAATTACGCATCCCACCCCCCCTCCACAAAAAAAAAACCGAATAGGTTGCCAATCGATCAACTTCGTTACGTACGCACTAATCTACACGAGCGGCAGGTGACATTACATGAACGATGAGCAAATTTAACTCTAAGATCCTCTCACTGGGCTCTAGCTCCCATGTGTTGCCAGTACGACTTTCAAATTCCACCGCCCCCAACTCTGCGCTGGGTGGTGGGGGGGGGCTTCATTGACGAACCTGAACGGTCACCCCCACCGTGCACCCGGCATCGTAATGTCTTAGCCGGTGTCAGGACGTATCCACACCCTGCTGGTGGAGTTGGCAGGACTGGAGTGCGACTTTGGGCAGAGCCGTCCCTCGGGTACGGCGAAGCGGGGCGACCGCCCGGGCCCCGCGCTTTGGGGGGGGGGCGTGCTTGGACGTCACCATGTCGGATGTAATACTTCCGGTTTAGTTTTTGAAGGGGTTGGGGGGCACACAGTGGAATTTGTCCCGGGGCCTCCCCACGTACCCCTATGGACAACCCTCACCATGGGTCAGCGTTGAGGCTGAACGGATGCCGTGTTGTGTAGATGTACTGCGTGGCAGTAATCACTTTGTCAATGAGTCGGGGTGGGGTGGTGGGATCGTGGTGCCGTTGGCCTTCACGTCAGGTGGTAACGCCAGCGCTCGCCGAGTGCACGGCGGACACCCAGTCACACGGCGGACAGCCAGCCATGCTGCAGTGAGGGCACGAGAGGGCATACGGGGCAACACGCGTGGCACTCAGATTTTCACGATGAGTGGGAAAACATGATTTTTCTTCTCAGCTTCACGGCCTCAGTGTGCATCTTCCGTTACGTTACCTACAATGCACGGTCCTGATTTCCAGGAGCTTGTTCGTGTGGTTGGATCGTGCAAAGGTGGGGGCCACTTTAATGAGCTCTATATTGAGGTGTTGTTCGTGTCTCTCCGAGGCAGGACAGCAAGTAGGACACTGTTTTCCTCGTGCTTTAGAAATCCCATGCACACAACAAGGAATTGGCCAAAAAACCCAAAGTAGGATCCTCCTGAAAATCAACCTCGATTTCTTGGGGCATTCCTGAGAAAATAATTCAAATATGTATCTTACTACTACGATAGAAAAATCGCCAATCAAAATAGTTCAGTTCCCAGCTGATTGAAGGTGGGGTTGTAAACACTATTAAAGTCCACTTTATTCTTATTTTCGTTAAAAGCTGCCTAAATATAATCACTGCATCATTGCTACAGGTTGGCTAAACAGATTGTGTTGGGTAAAACAAGTGATTTGTGAGTACTGCACTTTTAATTCATAAAAATACAATCGTTTAAAGTTTGAACATTTGTTGGATACATTCTTAAAATTAACATTGCACTGAATTCCACTTAATTTTTTTTTATCATACCAAAATAATGATGGCACACTTTTTATCCAAACATTTCTATTGTTTCTTTACAAGGTGAAAAATGGGCTTGGGAAAATGTGTACATTGTCATTTGTACAAATAGCAGTGAAGACTCATTGCAATGCCTAACGCAGGCGCATCTTAAGATGTTTCCAGAGTTGACTTCTTGTCCGTGTGGCTGTACCCTCGTCAGAGCACTTGAGCCAGCACTGCTGAGCCACCTGGGTTTGAATCCCGGTGTCATCCGCCCAAAACTAAACTTGATAACTCAGCAGTGTCTGCTTGACACATCTGTACCGCCACATAAAAAACTTCTAAAAGCATTTATGTTTTATGTGAAGGCACGGATATTTATTAATGGAGATAGTATTGCTTTTTTTTCTTGGTTCTTTCGGTAAAGTCACGTAGAAGGGAAGTAATAAAATAATAAAAATAAAACATAATTAAATAATTCTCACGACGTTTTTGTTTCCACAATGGTGCAAACAATCATTCTGAGATAAATTAAACTTGATTCTCAAAAAAGTACATGAGCTCCGCCTAGCCAAAAACACTTTACGCATTTAAAATAAAAACCCATCATAACATATTGCCGTTTTACTTTGTTTGGTATATTCCGCACTGTTTTAAGCAGGGATACACTTTAGACTTTTTAATATTGACGAAAGATATAAAATAAAAATAGAAAGTACGAATGCATATATATTTTTGAATACTTTATGCAAACATTTTGACTCCCCCCCCCCCCCCCCCGGTATATTTCTGGGCCAACCAAAGGTAGAAAATGGGGCCAAAATGTTCGTGTTGTAAGAAAGGCAATTAATTGAGGTCAGACGCCATTCCAATAGAAACACCCCCAACCACAGCGCCTTGCTATTTTAATTCCCTGGCTCATAATCCTCTCTGGCAAAAACACATTTACCATGCTGACAATAATCATCATCACGGTGACGATGTTAACTCACTCGACCCCTGCAAGTCGCGCACTGGCTGTATACCAGGTGCGCGTCTCGTCTCTCACGGGACACTATCTGCATCGTTCAGTTTCGGTGCACCCGTAAGAATGATGACAATTCGCAGTTCTTTGGGGGTAAACAACCTCCCCCGTGCCCTGTCGGCCATGGGGTTGTCTGGGCGTACTTGAACCACGCCGCCCGTCAGAGCTGGTAGGTGATCGAGGGCGGTGCCCACCAAGACCAGCTGGGACATCGCTCGTCGTCGATGTTGGGCCGTGGCTGGGATTCGAGCTTCAGGCCCGTTGGGTTCGAAGCGTAGTGCGTGAACCGCTGTGTTAACCGCTGCTCCCCCTGTTGTATGGACCGTATGCGTATTTAGAACTGGGATATATCCGATTGCTGAAGTATTCTACGAAAGCTGACGTCGTTGACGTCATCAGGCGCGTTCCCGCTGGACATGGTTTGTCAGGGGTTTCCCACCTTCGAAAGGCAGGAAGTGGGGTCGGCTGCCATCTTTAAAGGGAGCCGAGGAAGCTCTTGCAAAGAGAGAAACTCAAGGATAGCTGTTTACCCTTTCTGGCAATAAAACGGATATTAAGATGTTCGGACATCAAATGGAGACCTTTGCACGGAATAAAGTCTGCATCAACCACACGTACTTGTTGGTGAACATGCAAACTAAACATGCTCTGATAACACTGGTCAACACACTTTTTATGGCATAAGGTTTTTCAACGGTTTTAAGGTAATTTTTGGGTGCTGATTCCAAATCTGGCATCAGTTTTTTGTCTATCAGCAGGTTTTTAAGATATCAAATATAGCATTTTCAATAAAAACTACAGAAGAAAAATATTAAATAAATGTGGATATCTACATAAAATTATATTATTAACACACTATCCTAAAAATACAGAACCATATTTTAACACTAAAGCAGTCACTGGCTCGCAACAACTTACACTCATAAGTGACAGAGTTAATTTCGGGTAAAATCAATGAAAATGGGGTATGCCGATGGCATAAAAATGATGTGTGGAATCAGCACCCTGAAATTAGTCTAAAACAGCTGCAAAAGTCCAGGCCTGAAAAAAATGTTTTTTTTGTTGACCAGTGTAATTAATAGAATGCATGATGGCATTGTCTTTGAAACGGATTAATCGCCTTTCTCACAACACGCCTTTTGGCGTTCTCTGGTCTGGCACTGGCAAGACTAGGTCCTCCAGAAGGCTGTCTCTGGTTTAGACCAATCTATTTAAATGACAATGCCATCTATTATCAGAGCATGTTTTTGTTTGCATGTTCACCACAAGTACGTGTGGTTGATGCAGACATGATTCCTTGCAAAAGGTTTCTATTTGGTGTCTGAACATCTCAACACCTGTTTTATTGCCAGAAAGGGTCAAAATATATTCTTATTTTTTCATACTTTGATACTGGCAAAAAAGGTCCCATGTTATTACAAGTAGAAGCTGTCGATATCAGTGTTGGTCGATTAATCGTCACAGCTCTACATTTCTTTCGTACGGATGTTTACGTTTTGTGTTGCCATAATGCTTGTGGCATTGCAGTGTCTGAAATCCGGGCTATATATGGGCCTCACGATTGAGACTCATTAAAACATTATTCATCCCCGGACACCGATCTTCCCAAATGTTTTTTCTGGGTTGTTGATAGCTGTAAAATAATAACACGTTGCTTATTTGCCCGCACTCGGCGAAATGTTACGGTCAGAGAGAGAGAGACCGCGTGCAAGAAGACACCCACTTGCAGACCAGCGTGGTGACCTGCAGAAGGGCAGTGAAACAAGTAGGTTGCTGACCTGCCCCCGTGCGTTTTGTTGTTCGTCGTGTCAGCTTTTAAGTCTGGGTGTTTTTCTCCAGAAGATCCGTTTTGCTCGCGCACACAATAGGACTTCAGTTCTTGGAAAGGAATTTCCGCAATATTCCAGGCAGGGCTTTGGTGAAAAAAGCCTGGAGTCTCATTGGCACTTTCCTGGGTAAACCAAGGTTATTGATACCGAGTTGAGTGCTTCAAAAAGGGGCTCACATGGCTACTGAAGTTGCTATATTCATGGCTTGAACTTTCAGAAGTACATATAATTACATAGGAAACTAACTGGCTATATCGCTGTATATTGCAACTAAAGAAAACCCTGTAAATTCCGCTGGGACTTATGGGGGGGCTTGAAAAGAATTGAGTGGTGGGCGTGCGTGGTGGTGTTTATGTGGTCGGCGTGGTTTTGGTGGCGTTCTGTTATTTTGCTTGTTTTAAGCGACAATAAAAGATGTTTTGAGTAAGCGGTCTTTTGCAAATGCTTGTTGCCGAGCCGATTACGCGCACAACCGATGGGCTCACACCACACAATACAAAATACGTCCATACATGGTGGTGAAATTCAAGGTCACGTCACGCAGATGAGATTAAGGACAAGGGGGGGGGTCGGTCACCAAAATAACAAGATCATTTTTTTGTTCGAATTCGGTAAAGAGAAACAAAACTCACCGTTCTGAGGGACGTAATGCACTGTGGGTGAATACGAGACGACGGGCGCTCATCAATAAAAATAAAGTCGCGACGCAGCGGGGAGCGCAACTTGGGGGCCGTCCATAAATGACGTCATGCCCCTGGGGGGGGGGGGTCAGACATTTGTGACGATGTGTGACGAGGGGGGGGGGGGTGTTTGAGAAACGTGACGTCACATCAAAATGCGAAACTTTAATAAATATAGACAACACGTTCTACTTAATTAAATAGACTTTTTAATAAATGTTTTCTCCTACAACATCAGAGTGCAGCACCACATTAAATACGCACTACAATAACAATAGTTTAAAGCGATTTGAAGCATGTTTTATTTGGTGGGGGGGGGGGCAGAGCTTTATGACGTCATATTTGAGGGGGGGGGGTCTGACTTTGTGACGTCATGTGACGATGGGTGGGAGGGGGTCAAAAATCGTCCAAAATCGCGTGACGTCATTTATGGACGGCCCCTTGTACGGTTTGGGGTGCGATGTGGCAGCGTCACGCGACGCAGAGGGGCCCAGTCGGTCACCACAAGGGGGGCCCCGAATGAACAGATACACAAGTTGAAGATGTTCTGACAATGTATTTAAACAAACAAAAATATATCCCAACGTCAAACACAGCCCACCCTGCGGATGTGGGCGGCCACTGTGGACGAGTGGCCTCCGACCGGACCCAAGGGTGATCTGTGATCTCAAAGTTCCCTTCCCCTCCAGCCCGATGATGAAGCGGCAGTCTCCTGGCTCGATGAGACGAGCGATACGATAGTCAAACAACTTTTTTTTTATCCTTTATATTAAGTTCACTTGCTTGCTTGCTTGCGCGCTTACGACCATGCAAATCTTTCGGTCGTTTTTTAACCCACTTCCCGTGATCCAATCGAGCTGACATTTTGCACACAGACTCGTTGTGCGTGACAATTTATTTTCGTGAAAAATTTTTTTCTCCATAATTTTACACTTTTTAGGAATTTTTTTTTCATATTTAATTTAAAATACCAATGTGATAAAAATGAAACTCTTACTCAAGATAAACAGAAATGAATAATAAAATAAAACCGATGCCACGCATATAAAGGATTTATAGTGAAAAACTTTGTTTTTACGGGTTAATTTTTTTTTTAAGAATCGATGGCTAGAATTTCCTGGCTGGCTGCTGGCTGGGCGCCTCTCCATCACAACCTCCAACTCGGTTGTTGGTGGCTGCGGGCTGTTACCACGCAAGTTAGCTGGGTTACCGGGGATCAACTGGATTTTCCGTGCCAATAAACATTTCACTTGAAACGGTGGCAAACAAAAACAACGTTTGGAAGACGTCAAACAGATCGCGACATTGAAGAGATGGAATTATTACAGACGAATGACACGGTTGATTTAAAATTGCTCTGACTTTTCAAGTTGTGCTCCTAGTAATGCCGCTATTTCGCCAGAATGTCTTCACATCCTTGTCCAATGCTGACGTCACATAATCTTTATGTGCCGTATACATGAATTGCTCATACGAATATTCTCTCTCTCTCTCAGAATCGACCGACTGATGTAGCAGACGAAACAATCATCTTGTTGAACGATTCTAAACCTTGACGCGGCAATGTTAGTTTTCTCTGTTGTTCAAGGTTTTCTCAGTGTTATTCAATGTTTTTACATTTAGTTTACGATTACACTGTGAATTATATGGCATAATTAACTATTTTGTGCTTAAAAATCTTTAAAAAAAACTATATTTATATACAGTTCGTAGGAGTCTGGAACGGATTAATCGTATTTACATACAATCCAATGGGGAAATTAGGTTCGAGTCACGACCAAATCGGGTTGCGACCAAAGTTACGGAACGAATTATGGTCGTGACCAGAGGTTCTACTGTATTGAACTTCTTTCGCACCGTACGTAGCCAGCCGTGCTAATCGGAGGTGCGTGTCGAGATGTGCATCATACAATCTATTACAGCAGAATCGTATGCCAGTTGTCAATATACATATGCCAGTTGTCAATATACCGCTTGAAGATGTCTCCCACGCTACGTCAGATGGGACGTAGCACCGCTCGTGGTGAAACGTTGTTGGGTGAGAGTCGTTCAAGGTCCCGCTTCCGACACCACTCGTCACACTTCATGTTCACCGTGGCCGGGAATGGAACTCAGGTTCCACGTAGTCACGCTTACAACCATATCTCTGTAGCGAATACAGAACACCGCCCTGCTGTCTGTATCGTGTGCGAGAGTCAGATGTCCCTCTGCTGTCTGCACGTCTCGTGTGTGTGCAATGCATCTCCCTGCTGTCTGCACGCCTCGTGTGTGAGTCATATATCTCCCTGCTGCCTGTATGTCTCGTGTGTGTCCAATGCATCTCCCTGCTGCCTGCACGTCTCGTGTGAGTTCAATGCATCTCCCTGCTGCCTGTACGCCTCGTGTGAGTCAATGTATCTCCCTGCTGCCTGTACGCCTCGTGTGTTCAATGCATCTCCCTGCTGCCTGTACGTCTCGTGTGAGTTCAATGTATCTCCCTGCTGCCTGTACGTCTCGTGTGAGTCCAATGCATCTCCCTGCTGCCTGCACGTCTCGTGTGAGTTCAATGCATCTCCCTGCTGCCTGTACGCCTCGTGTGAGTTCAATGTATCTCCCTGCTGCCTGTACGCCTCGTGTGTCCAATGCATCTCCCTGCTGCCTGTACGTCTCGTGTGTGTCCAATGCATCTCCCTGCTGCCTGTACGCCTCGTGTGAGTTCAATGTATCTCCCTGCTGCCTGTACGCCTCGTGTGTCCAATGCATCTCCCTGCTGCCTGTACGTCTCGTGTGAGTTCAATGTATCTCCCTGCTGCCTGCACGCCTCGTGTGAGTTCAATGTATCTCCCTGCTGCCTGTACGTCTCGTGTGAGTTCAATGTATCTCTCTGCTGCCTGCACGTCTCGTGTGAGTTCAATGTATCTCCCTGCTGCCTGTACGTCTCGTGTGAGTCCAATGCATCTCCCTGCTGCCTGCACGTCTCGTGTGAGTTCAATGCATCTCCATGCTGCCTGTACGTCTCGTGTGAGTTCAATGCATCTCCCTGCTGCCTGTACGCCTCGTGTGAGTTCAATGTATCTCCCTGCTGCCTGCACGTCTCGTGTGAGTCCAATGCATCTCCCTGCTGCCTGTACGTCTCGTGTGAGTCCAATGCATATCCCTGCTGCCTGCACGTCTCGTGTGAGTTCAATGCATCTCCCTGCTGCTTGTACGCCTCGTGTGAGTGCAATGCATCTCCCTGCTGCCTGTACGTCTCGTGTGAGTTCAATGCATCTCCCTTCTACCTGTACGCCTCGTGTGAGTGCAATGCATCTCCCTTCTGCCTGTACGTCTCGTGTGAGTTCAATGCATCTCCCTGCTGCCTGTACGTCTCGTGTGAGTTCAATGCATCTCCCTGCTGCCTGTACGTCTCGTGTGAGTGCTGAATGCATCTCCCTGATGCCTGTACGTCTCATGTGAGTTCAATGTATCTCCCTGCTGCCTGTACGTCTCGTGTGAGTTCAATGCATCTCCCTGCTGCCTGTATGTCTCGTGTGAGTGCTGAATGCATCTCCCTGATGCATCTCCCTGCTGCCTGTACGTCTCGTGTGAGTTCAATGTATCTCCCTGCTGCCTGTACGTCTCGTGTGAGTCCAATGCATCTCCCTGCTGCCTGCACGCCTCGTGTGAGTTCAATGTATCTCCCTGCTGCTTGCACGCCTCGTGTGAGTCCAATGCATCTCCCTGCTGCCTGCACGCCTCGTGTGAGTTCAATGCATCTCCCTGCTGCTTGCACGCCTCGTGTGAGTCCAATGCATCTCCCTGCTGCCTGCACGCCTCGTGTGAGTTCAATGTATCTCCCTGCTGCTTGCACGCCTCGTGTGAGTCCAATGCATCTCCCTGCTGCCTGCACGCCTCGTGTGAGTTCAATGTATCTCCCTGCTGCTTGCACGCCTCGTGTGAGTCCAATGCATCTCCCTGCTGCCTGCACGCCTCGTGTGAGTTCAATGTATCTCCCTGCTGCTTGCACGCCTCGTGTGAGTCCAATGCATCTCCCTGCTGCCTGCACGCCTCGTGTGAGTTCAATGCATCTCCCTGCTGCCTGCACGCCTCGTGTGAGTCCAATGCATCTCCACGTGGTTCCGTCACGCATCTCCACGTGGTCGCCGTTACTCCCCAGGCCACGTGGTTCGTCTCTCCTGGTCACGTGACGCCGCACGAGGCCACGCCCCCTCCGCCCCCACCGCTTTAGAATCCTCGGGCGCTCGCCCAGAGAGGCGGGGAGCCGCTCCGCTGTAAACCCCGTCCGCCTTTGTCTCTCCCCTGAACACCCCCCCCCCCCACGTACCTCACCACCACCACCCCCCACCACCGCCCGCCTACTCTGTCTCTCCCTCCCTCTCTCCGTGAACCCCGCGGCGTCGTGAGAGGCGGCGGCAGAGGAAGCGGCGGCAACGCGCAGCCTCCCTCGACACTGGAGCCCCTCGGACCAACACTGTAAGCGCACTGTACATACAGTGCACACACGCACTGTACAGGCAGCACACACACGCACTGTACATGCAGTACACGCACTGTACAGGCAGCACACACACACGCACTGTACAGGCATTCAACACACGCACTGTACAGACAGTCCACACACGCACTGTACAGGCAGTCTACACACGCACTGTACAAACAGTCCACACAGTCCACACCAGAACTGTACAAACAGTCTACACACGCACTGTACATGCAGTCCACACACGCACTGTACAAACGGTCCACACACGCACTGTACAAACGGTCC